ATAAGATGTAACAATAAATTATTGATGCTGATTTTCCAGGGTTTTTTTTACTTAAAAATTTAAGTGTCGACTTTATCTACTGTGGTGGGGTAAAAAGACCATGTTTTGTATACCTCATTCAAGACCTTAAAGAAGTACCAGGTTCCATTTTCATACATATTTTTGTAGTGTAATGTAAAGTCTTTGAACTGAACTTTGTTTAGGTTGTTCAATATTTAAAATATACTGAAAGATAATTTATATATTGCAAAATATATGTGATTTAGTGTCGGAGTTATCTCTCCAACCAGTAAACTATATGTACACTAAATGAGTAAGTTTGCTTATATTTGTAATATTTTTACATATATTACACAAATATTACACATTATCTTTTACTAGTTTAAGTGAATATTAAACATGGAGGAAATAGAGCGATGTATGCATAATTCAATATATATGAAATTATTTTCAGTTTTTAATAGACATAGAAGACATTTATACATGAAAAGGTGACATGAAAAATTTATCAATAAACAAACATAAACAAACGTGATTTCTAGTTATGGTTCATGATTGGCGATGTGTACGAGTTCAGGTTAAACATGCACAGTTGATCCATAATTTAAAAGAAAAACTTTTATGCATACAATAGCACCTGTGTGAATTTGAAAAAGTGTATTACGTGTATAAGATTAATTCACAGCGAAATACGGATATATTTGTATTACTTTCGGAATGCACACCTAAGTTGACTATAGAATAATTTTATCACTTTTAAAACCAAACTTTAAGCAAATACATGTAACATATCAGTACAAATATTTTTGAATACATGCACGGATGGGCATTAGAAATGCTTAAAATTGAAAGGTGACATTTTTAAACTCAATATGTGACTTAATCTTTACGTTACTTCCAAACACTTTAACCAGTTGGTATTTAATATTTTTATAATTTTAGATTAAAACCTTAAAAAATAAAATTGTGTCATATCAGCAACTTTGATCAAATAAATACACCTAAAAAATTTTAACAAGAAGCCTTTTAGGAAAATTACATCTTAAAATAACACATACTGTTCTGTGATAACTGAAACAATACGTAATCAGCTACCAATAACCAGAATACAAGAATACAAGGGATGATCCAGAAATACCTGTAATTTAAACAGTAAATTCAATAATATTTATTCAAAGTTCATATAATAAACACTTTATTACTGCTTAATATATCCTCTTTACAAGGAAACAAGAATATGATAATTAAACACAGTATGCCTACCATATAAGCAAACATAGGATTTGCCACATTATGCAAAAAAGGTTGATGTTTTATTGTTCTTATACATAGGGAATCCTCCCGATGCCATTCACTGTAAGTGTACTAACAACCTAAACCTATGTATTTGCTTTGATTGCTGTGATTCATACACATGATCATCTTAAAGTTGAAGGCATAAAATATATGATTCATTTCATTTAATTAGAAAAAAGTGCATGTAAAAGAAAAAAATAAAGTATGAAAAACAGCACATAATCGTCAATAAGAATTCATTTTTAAATCGCATTGAAATTGTGCAAGGCCGCATATGACAGCATATATGTATTTTTTCAATCGCCACAGCGACGGAGAACGTTAACTTCACGCGTATTCTTCTATGCCGCAAACGATATGTATTTATCTTTAAAATTACTTCAACAGTTTGGTAAAAAAAACTTCTTTACCCCTCAAAAAGTTTTGTATGCATGACTAACAAAATACTTGTGTCGAATTTCTTTTATCGTATTAGATTTTTCTATGGTAGGCTGTCTGAACAGTTGACAAATGTTTATGAAAGTGCCGTTTTCCGACGCCTTAATGAAGACGTTTTTGCATAAATAAACGTTGCAATTACAAATGATTACACAATAATACCATGTTCAAACGTCGTAAAATTTAAGTAGGCTTTACATTAACCTTCGGCAAGATTGGACATGATCCCTTTTTGTGTCGGACACTTTGGTGTATTATAAATTTCAACGGACGTCATGTTCTTTGAGTTGCGCTGCTTTGGCGTATCCATGGTTATTTAAAGCGGCCTGAGACGATACTGGAGGTTTTTAATAAATTATATGGCAATTAAATAGAAGAAACATCGATCTTTGCGCATTTATAAATTTAATGAAGAAAACATAAAAAAGTTATCAGAATAATAAACAAATTTTGGGTAATTCTGGATCAACCTCCATATAATGTAAAACAACAGATTTTATAAATCTTACAATATCAGTTATTGTTGTTTTTTTTTTTCAAGATAAACACCTGTCGGATTTGTTAACGGCTGTTTGATGATCATACAAAGACAGTTAAAGGATCGGAAAGGAATGCAAGGGAATAAATGCTGTCAGTGAGAAACGAAATGACAGTTTAAAAGTTGAATCGGAATAATTTATTCATATTGAGTGTAGAAAGATCACATTACACTAAAAGAGACACTAAGACAGAAAAAGAAAACAATAATGCCACCATTAACACCATTGAGATGACTGATAAGTTTTCATACAAAAAAAAATTATATTATGGTCAATCTGTAATAAGAAGGGGTAAAACAAGGAAGTGTGATGTTTTGCCAGTAATGGCAGTACTATATATTTATAACCCACTATTTTGAATATAAGCATACAGAGGAACGACTGTTTGTCTGATACAGTGAGAGCAAGGATAGAAAAGGTTCACGACTTGCTTGTAGCCGATGCTCTTTACCATCAAACTTGTTTATGCTCCTCTAATTTCAGAACTGGAAAGATATACCAGACTAATTTCAGGTGCTACCATCTAGAGTGATAAAAAATGAAAGATTTGTAGACCAGAAATTAAAGAAGCGAGTGACGCTTTGTAAAAGTCATGACATTCTTGTGCTTATGCTTAGCGAAGATATTTTACAAATTAAAATTTCCAAATATTTATTTTTTTACATTTTATGCTCAAATATATCAAATAATTGAAATTGACCTCCAAAAGGTCAATGTCACCTTTTTTTACCCAATATCATGGTGTTATATAATGACTCAGAAAAAAAATACAACAGATGTGCTTAAAAGTATTCAAGTTAATATAAAACTCAATATTATTATCATAGATAATATAAATTTACTTAATGTTTCTTTATTTTTGTATAAGATTACCCCACCCACTAGCTGTACAATGTTAACATAAATATTTCAATATATGCATTAAATATTGATGGAATGTAAATTAAATTCATAAAACGTTGAAATTTGACAGTTTTCACATGTACACAAACCAATATGTATTTTCTGTTTAATATCATATAACATACATCTTTCAATAAATTGTTGATCTACAGCAATTTAAAAATATAGTATTACCCCACCCACTTAAGTTAATTTATAAATTTCAGAAGGTAAAAGTAGTTTCTTTAAACAAAAACAACTTTGTGATTACTTTATGTTACTATAGGGATAGATTAGGCTATATTTTTATGCATATTATATATAAAACTGATTAGAAAATTGTATGTGTGTGTATTACATTGAGTTCAAATTAAAAAAATAAATACAATGATACCCATATATTTGATCCTAATTTTTGAAAACATTCTCCAATATAGATTTTTCTAGACTTTTGATATGTTATACAATATAGGTCTGGGGTTTCAAAACACTCAAAATATTTTCTGTTGCAATTTGTTTGAGGTTTGGCTCTATTTTGAGCTAGAATGACTGGACTAGTAATAGAAACTTAAGGATATATTCAATGCACGTATTGCAATGATGCATCTGCTAGTGAAATCAATGAATTTTCTGTTTGGCATTTTGCATATGTTTAGAATCAAACGGAAACGGATATTTTTTTTTCTATAATTACTGGAAAATGTATGTTTAAATTATCGGATCATAATAACATGGTAACTCATTGTTATGAGAAAAGAAAACTTACACCTTAATAAATTTTGCTTCTATATTTATTAATTTATTGGCATTATAGATATGCATGTATATTTTGTAATTGTTGAATATATTCTTTGCAACTTTGTTATAAAAGCATGCAGTGTATAACTAATTCAGACATTCAAACTGTATAGATCTAATTTGATAAGCATTTTAGGAAAGTACGTGTACAAGTTTTGAATTACCGTTAACACAAGAACAACAGATATGACAACAACAACAAAATGATCAACATTAAGCTACAAACACTACAAACCTTATCCTAAATAATGTTTCAAAGGGAGGTAAACAATTGGTTATAATCATATGGAAATGAAGCGTTAATTTGAGCCATAACCGGTATCATTTTTTCTTTTTTCCTTTTTTAAAATTGTCGTCTTTTTGATAGTGTTGAAAGTTTTCAAATTAATTATATATTTCATTATATTATAAAGTGAAATATTTACATTCAGATGCATAAATGATAAAAAATTATATCATAAACTACACTTTACTTGGAAAGATATGAATGAAATTAGTGATACAATGTATATAATAACATCAATTAATGTAAACGTATCTTTCAAAAGCTTTTAAATCTTAAACTTAACAACAGTTTATCACAATTTAACACTGTTATTTCATCTACTTACTATTTGTTATGTAATTGTTTCGGTAATTGCAGCTCTTAGTCTAATTTATTAAAATACCTATGCTTAGCCTAAAAGACCGCTGCAAATGTGAAATTTGTTTTTTCTTTTAAAAATCATGTATGTTTATCATTGTGTTTATGAAGCAATTTGTTTGACTAAAATCAATTCAGTAGTGCTATTTATAAAGCGAACACAAATGCATTTATCATCTATTATTATTTCCTAAAGGAATACTCTTTTGGCAAATAAAATAAGATTTTAAAAATTAAAACTCAGTTTAGTTATATTTTAGAGAAACATTGCTCGATATTCATTTCAGGTTCAGAAATACAAAATGTCTGTTAGTATGAATGTGTTTGTATCTTCTAATAGTGACAACTCTTATTATTTCGATTGACGTCCGTTGTATTGGTACCATTCAGCGGCATGCATTTTAAATCTTTAGCCCAGTTTAGATCGACAAACATTTATTTTCATCTGCTGTGAATTTGGACAAATCATTTGAAGTTTAGGGATTTCATTATCAAAAAAAACAAATCAATGCAGCTTCAAATGATAAAGAGACTGATCAGACTGTACGGATGTACTGGCCAGCCTTGCTCTTTACTGGTGAAGGAGGCTATTCACTATTTGTCGGAGCAGGTAGAGGGTAAAACAAAAACTTAAGTGGAAGGTGTATCTTCTGTACAATTTTAACGCTTCTTTGTTTTTCATACAAAAACAAACAAACAAAAAAAAAACGTATATATTTCATGAACTTTTCTTCACTGCTTCGAAAAATATAGAATTGTAATATTATGAGCAACACATGAACACAAATGTTCTTGATAAAAAATAACCCCTAAGTGCATTTGACGTAGGCATAACCAGTTTATGTAATTATAATATATTTATTTACAAAACATTTAAATTTTTATCAAACTTTTATGATAATGTAATTGTTGCATTACCAGTGTTGTAACAAATATATTAACTCATGTAAATCAATGCAATAATTGGATAAACAATACACCCCTGTTTATTAAACAAAACTTTTTAAATTTATACCAATACGTCATATTATTTTAAATATAATAAGACGAACGTCAGTCAATATCAAAATATCTTTTAATACATATTGAAAACAAGAAATTTCGTCATGTTAAGTAATTGAGTTATATATTTACAATAAGATTCTACAAACAAAAAATCAATACCATCTCCCGGAACGGTAAGAAATGTTGGATCCTTGACAAAAATATTAAAAAGCACAAAATATTGCTACGCTATTAACAATACGTTCGTGTATTTAAATGTAAGCAATACGTGTTTAACTTTTATAAATGCAGCTGCTTAGCATATGTTATACGCATAAACTATCAAAAAAGAAAATATGCAAGAATAAAATAGAACTCAGAATTGAATAGAACTCACAAAAGAACTCTTATTCAACAGGTAGTATAGTTATTTACATGTTCCACATTACTCTTTACCGATTATTCGAACTGAGAATTTTCTGTTACATTTTGCTATCATTGCCTTTTACAAACAAAATGAAAATGAAACAAACACACATTTCAATCATCAATATTCAGAATTGAAACATAGAGACAAACACGCCATATTATCTCTCTTGAAATACCATACCTGTCATGACTGATTTAAAGAAATAATAAAATTGTGTGTTATAAAACAAATACTCCCATTACAAGGATCACTTCTTATGTTGATTATACGATTATATAATTCACTAATGGTCACATCATGTACGTCCTTTTCATGACAAACAGGTATGTCCTAGTTCATCTACAAACATACAATACTTTTCCTTGGTGTAAGGATATATTATATTACATAGGATTAGCGTTCTCGGAATCGCCGTCTCCATCCTCGCGACTCGTTTCGTTTTTATCTTCATGATTATGTATTATGTTAGCATACATTGGATAGAATTCGTTTATTTTCTGTCTAGAAGAGGAGTTGATTGAATCACTAGCACGGCCTTTATTTTCGTAATCATTCTCCATAAAGATGATCTGACTCTGCTTTGGTCGTGCGATTTGATTGTCTAAAAGACCTCTTCTGTTTGATGAAAGGAGTAAACTTCCCCGGGACTCCCGTTTGGTTAATAAATATCGAAGTGCATTTCGGAATTTACTTGAAACGAAATTATACAGTATTGGATTTAACGCATGATTAAGGTAAAACAGAATCCTGACAGAATACAAAATGTCAAAATATTTATGTATACCAAGATTGTGTAGTTCATACTTATCGGCGTAAATCAACCATATACTAACAATTCTATATGGTAAATGAAATATGAAGAACAGAAGAACTAAGGAAATAATGATATTTATGACTTGAGCACGAAGTCGACGCCTGTAACGACTTTGGGAAGAGTTCCGTAGTTCATAGTGACTGGCATCATCTTTAGTGTTATGCAATATGAAACATATCCGGCAGTACAGCAGCAAAAGTATGAAAAATGGGATCATGAAATAGAGAAGACTTGCGAAAGTGACATATGCTTTATGCAAACCATTTATCATTGGCAACCTGCATACTTTGATTGGAGTGCCGTCCAAATGGCTGGAATCTTTGTATTCCGCAATAATAAACCATGGAATATTTGAAATGCCACATATTAACCATATAAAAGGAACAACTTTGATGCTTTTATGTAAATTGTCTTCGATACCTAACAATGGCCGATTAACAACTCTGTATCTCTCAATACCAATGGCAATCAATGTGAGCACTGATGCATGTACAACTGTGTTTTCCAGAAATGGTACCAAAGAACCTGAAAGTAAATACAAATATTTCTTCAGTCATATTATCAATTAACTGATTAAATTCCGTTCAAACCTTTCAGTTAGTTTTAAAATGATCTATCAAAAGGGTAAATATTATTTATTATGAAAATATATCTTTTAACAGAATTTGTCCAAATTGGAAGACGTCTGTTACCATAAATAGCTATTGTGATAAAATTATATTTAGTATAAACCACGAAGTAGTTTTAAGTGGTTGTTGTTTGTGAGTTAGATATACATGGTCCAATATGACATATATTTTTATAGAAGTTAAAACATTGTTCTGACACTAAATATTATTCATCATAAAATGTTCATACTAAATCACTTTGAACTGTATCAAAATATATTTTCAGGAAATAGTTTAATATAAGAATATCCAAATGATGAATTTTTTATGTTTTCTTCCTGGTAATCAATATAAGACATTCTTATGTAACATGTACCCATTTCTGATCAATTCACATTTGCAGAAAGACAATATAAATTTCTATAATGTTCGGTAAAACCGCGTTCACTTTTGGCCAGGCAATCTTCAGAAGATCACCTGAACCTTGTTAATAACTTTGTTTGCCAAAATCGTGCCGTTTACTGTTTATTGATATTAAGGTAGTTTGCAGGAATCCAAAGATCATGCATGTCAGCAAAGGCTTTTACAAATCGCTTCAAACCGCCTACATCAACAGTAATACTGCGCATACGACAATAGTATGTTATGCACTTATTACTTTTCAATTCATATTTAACTACCATATGTAATTATATTTCAAGTCTTCATCTTAAAGCGATTCTTTGAGATTTTTGTGGCACTGGAATTCTTGACATTATGTCTGTAGATGGGAAACAATAGACCGGTTATGTGACCAACAAAATATTTGCAATCAAATTGATTGCAAAAGAATTGTTTGTATAATGCACAAAAGCATGACTTGCCACATTTTATTTTGTTTTATTTTTGTTATTGTTAAAAACTGGCATACATAAAGTTTTGCCACATATTCTACATTTATTGGAATGTGTTACTGATTTCAAATAAATATTTATCTGCATAGCGTATCGAAAGGGAAAAAATATCAGATTTATTATTTTTATTGTTTGATAAAAAAACAACAAAGTCACCATAAAACTTTTCTTATTGCATAAACTTTAATTTGATTTTTTTGAAACCAAAGTAACTAAACTATGCAATTTGATGTTAACCGAATATTGTCACAAAGCAATCCCATATGTACTTCAGTACTTTGATTTCTAACATCGTTAAACACCATTGCACTGAACAGATGACATAAAAATTGCAGAACATAAATGCAGCATGTTATATTATATTGTAACGAGTGGTTCATACAGTATAATTATTAAGTAATAAGAAATGTCAGAACGATCTATTATGTCAAATTAACCAATATGGAGTGTCCTTTCAAGTGTAAGATTTTATTTTTCATACAAACATTTAATTAATAACTATTATCTTTCTTTGTTAGTAAAGTTTAACAAACGACCTTAATCATAAGTATCGAGATGAAAATTGCTTGATACCTGGGATAATTAGACGAGAGCAAATATCAAAGACAAAAACTGATCTCTGTCAATGCTATATATCTTAAAATATAAATTTGCCCATCTTTGGGTAAACCCCTTTTATTGCAGACATTTACTAAAATCTAGGATATTCTTACTGAATTTGTCTAACTAAAATAAGACAATGTACAAACAATATATGGGATGATGCATTCTATTTTACAAGTTAATTTTGCCCGTTCTTACTTGTAACAAAAATGTCAGACACTAGCTAAACGAGTTTCAAACGTAAAAGCATATCTTCCAAAGATGTTTACATTTAAAAATGACTGTATAGCATCTATTGGTATTTTCAAAAATCCAATTTGAGCATAATTAAAAACCTACTAAATATAGATTCATATTATTTATCGGCTTAAATTTTATTAATTTACCTTATATTTGATAAAAATTTAAATCTCTGACAGTACTAAACTTTACCTCTTTGCTTATTCATACTCATACACATTATTCATCTTTTTATTAAATCATAATCAAATAACTGTTTTGTCAAGAGACTTGAATAGTTAATATTCCTGACATATTTACCTTTTAAACAAACAAATACAACATTAAAATGAACTTAAAAAACATGTTATTAAAACAGACGTTTTTTAAACATTCCAATCATTACTGTTTTCCATAATGCAGGTATCAAAGTAACCGGAACTATATTTTGAATCAAAAGAACCTTTCTGACATAAGAGAGCTTATCATTATGTATAAAATTAAACAAAAAAATATTTTTTTATTATCTGTTACCGAAATAAAAACTAAAAACATACACAACTACTAGTCTCGCCATTCAAGTTGTTGTTTCCAAAAACAAATCAGTATAAAGTATGTAAAGTTTTGATCCAACAATAAGTATCACTATATAGACATTTTTTAATCTTAATTTAACATCAAAACAGCTGGTAATACTTGATACAGGTTAAATAAGACATTATTTCATAAGATATTGGTCAACATGTTTTTCAAGAAGTAAGTGCAAACAATACAAAGAGAATTAACCACACACTTGTATTACCTGCTAAAATCAGCAAAATGATTATGAACCGTACCCAAATTATATCTGCAACATATTAAAATACAGCTGGTAATCACAACATACACAAGTGTCATTTCTCAATCAGCATCAGTCTATAAATCCTGTTAGTTCCAACTAAATCAAGTTAGAACACTAATACTTACTTTATAATGTTGTTGGTAAATCATTAAAGAAAATAAGCAATCGTTACCAGACAATCAAATTATTTAAAATTTATATGCACTCAAATCAAAATAAATAACATTGGAACATCTGATTCTGCAAAATAATCAATAACCAGCCTTGTCCAAATTGGGCACCGTACTCATCAAAGGTCATTTCCATGCCTCAACAATTTAGCGAAAATGAAAGAAAATGTTATATCAACTTTAATTATTGTAGTATCTTGCCTGATGAAAAAATAGAGATGAAGAACTGTGACTTCAAATATAAAACAAATCTGTAATACTGTTAATACATGTAGTTAATTTAATTTTATCACATAATTTTACTTTGCTTAAAATTCATATAAATAAAAGTGTATCGTAAATTACTATTTTTAATAAAACATCGAATTGAATGTGTTTTCATATTTAACCATTTACTCGAACTAACGAAATTTGATTTTAGTAGTTTAAGTACTTGCTTATGTCAATTTTTATCACGATGTAACTTATATAAATAATTGCCGATATTAAATAATTCAAATAACTCGTGTACATATGATGCACTTAAAATATACTATATAATTATATGTTTCATATCATGTCTGCAATTTCTTTCATATCTGGTAAACCATCAAAGATACATATTTATTTTCAAGTCACATAGGTTATACATTATGGAAAAGAAATCACGCAATATTAATCAATCAATTTGAAATGCTTATCTGTTCAGCAACAAATATGTAAACCATCCATCACGACCACAATTTCAAAATAAAATAAAACATAGACAAGATCATTTTCAAAATCTGCACTCCGTCCGAAATTAAACCTTCCCCTTCACAAAATTGCTTAAGGAATTGATGTGCTAAATACCGGTAGGGCCGTCATTTGCCGTACAGTAAATACCATTAAGATTATTTTACTATAGAACTTGTTCCAGCCATAGGTGCTTAAATATTATTATAGAATGGATTATAAAGGTGTTATTTCAGAAGAAAGATCCTCTTCCTAATACAATTCTTTCTTCTGTTTAAGAGTCAATTAAAACGAACATGAATCTTAAAGCAATACAATTTCTTATGCACAAGTAACGTATTGGTTAGAAAATTGCCGTAATAAACAAGCAAAAAACATGGATACAGCAGTAACAGATGTAAAATGTAATTTCTCTCCAATATTTTGTTTTGGCATTGGCATTGATTCCTTTTGTTTATGTTCCTCCCTTTCACTGATGCTTGTTTCCTTTTCTTTCTTTAAAAAATATTACATATTATGCATGTTGAGGAGATTTTTATTTATCGAAATATTTATCTATGTGTATGTTATTTTCACAAAATTTAAGATAAATATATCGAGGGGAGTCAATATTTGAACAGTTAAGAACTATTAGATATTTGGAAGCATAGCATTCAAATATCTGAAGTACTTGAAACATTGTTAAAGATCATGAAACTCATTTTTTTTTATGTTTTTATATAATCATAAATATGATGCTCAAAAGGAGATTTATTAATATTGTAAGTTCCAATAAGCATTATTTGTAACGATATAATAAAAGGTGGAAATTCATTTTTGATAAATTCTAAGCCAAAGTTTTCAACAAGATATGAATGCATATATTTTAATAATTACTTATAATGCATATAAACATTAGCAGTACATATTTTACAATTTCTTTGATGTTTGGAAATTGTTTTAGAAGAATAATCTTATACATAATAAAACTTTTCACTTATATTATTATATCCTTATGCTCGCCCATATGGTTTCTTCCCGGAATCGAGGGCAAACAAACCCAAACACACACAAATTCTTTAAAACAACATACAGGATCTTTAAACGAATTGCTCCTAAATAGTGATTTATGTTGGCTTATTTATTTAAAGAAACCTGTCTAATCATGAATATGTGAGTTAAGGCATTTGTTAAATAAAGAGAAAAGAAATCCATAACGAACGATCAAAACGTTTGTATTAGAGAAAAAAGTCACGCGGACAAAGTTAATTACAATTTCGTTTTTCATAAGAATCATTTAGATGCTGCGCAAAAGTATGTTTTTTCCAATGTCAAAAAAAAAACTTATTCGATTTACTTAAGGTATTTGTCATATTATAAAAGAAGTTTTAAGAAACTTAATAAATGTTATCAACGATATTTAAGTAATGAGTGGTGGGAACCCCTGTGGTAGTAGTCAATATGTCATAATATTGCTATTGATATATAATATATTATTCCTATTGAACAAATAATGGTATATCGTGCTTAAAGAACTAGCTAAAGACATTAAAGACATATAAAACTCCAATTCTAGACAAACGAGTGTTTCCATCATTTGCGTTAAGTTTGTTTGCTACCTTCTCTAAATAAAGATTTTATCATGATTATCATCAAAGATCTTCTTATCAAACTGGAGAATATAGTTAATATATGTTAACAAATTTAATAAATATCCTATGAAACCAAAACGATTTAAGAATTAATCTCAAAATTAGACTAGAACTGTGTCCAAAGGACACGGATGCCCCCACTGTGCAGATGTGCTCGTAAACAAGAGCATGCATATCTGTATGTAAGATTTTTATGTGGAACTTTTTATTTAAATCTGCCATCCGGTTTAAGAGGAGTTGCATTCACAAAATTTCTATATGGTACATAGTGAAGAAATCAACAAAGGCCATAATTCTGTTAAATTTGGTCGCAGCAAAAATTCCTTCCTTAACCTCTTTCTATACATTAAGGTTGTTCATCCCTGGAAGTTTAAGCAAAATCTGCCACCGGTTTAAGAGGATTTGCGTTCACAAAATTTCTATATGGTATTTAGTGAAAAAATCAACAAAGGGCCATAATTCTGTTAAATTTGGTCGCAGCAAAAATTCCTTCCTTTACTGCTACCATCAACACATTCTGTGTGTTCATCCCTGGAAGTATAAGCAACATCTGCCATCCGGTTTAAGAGGGGTTGCGTTCACAAAATTTCTACATAGTATATAGTGAAAAAATCAACAAAGGCCATAATTCTATTAAATTTGGTCGCAGAAAAAATTCCTTCCTTTACTACCATCTACTAATTAAGGTCGTTCATCCCTGGACGTTTAAGCAAAATCTGCCATCCGGTTTAAGAGGAGTTGCGTTCACAAGATTTCGGGACGTACGGGCAGACGTAAGGACGGACAGACGTACGGACGGACAGACGTACGGATGGACGGACAAGTGCAACGCTATATGCTCCCCACTTTGTAGGGGATTAAAAAGAACAAATATATAGCTAGATACTTTGATTTTGTTCAATGAACAATAACAATCTCTCTTTGACTCAAAATGTGATTAAATGCAATCATCTTTAGTTAATATTGTAAGTATTTCATATTATCAGATCCTCTTTTAAGCCATTAATGAAGCATTGTTAATTTTATAAGGCAGGAAAGATTGAACATTATCAAAGCTTCGTATTAACACCAGACAAGCAGATTTATTTTACCTTTTCCGATTAGACTAAATAAGTATCTTTAAAATGGTTCGTTTAGTTGTACGTCTATAGTCTGACTTCGGTTAGAAAATCCAAGCCAAAGACATTATAAATTATCGGGGTTAAACATTCCTTACAACGTTTTTTTCAAAATCCAAACAAAGCAATATTAACTTATATCAACTTGAAATGAAGTTCGAATTTAGCAAATTAAAAAATGCAACATTTTGTAAAAATGTTCGAATAAAATGTTTTACTAGGACAAAATTAGTTACGATACTATTCTGTTCGGAAAATACTGTATTGACGATAGTGTTACATTAATATACATAAATGCAAAGACGAGTCAAAGGTCAAAAAAGTAAAAAGTAAAAAGGTTGATGTTAAAAGGACGTAACATTTGTACATTTTGCTGAAAAATAAAGACTTTGTCTTGTAAAATCTATGTGCGACAACATATGATATACATAAAAGATTTGATTGATTTGTCTTAACGTTTTTCCATATTGGTAGTGTTTTTACAGCGTGAGACCCTAATCTATGCAAGAATGAATCAATGAAAGAATTTATAAATTCCTATTAAATTTTGACTTGATTAAACTTCAGTTGGTTATGTAGTTCTTTTTAAAAATCTAAAATGACTTTAAGAATTATACAAGTTTATTCTGTTTCAATTTAACCCGGCATTCATAATTTGAAAGCTGTATACAGCAGGGTAAAATGAATTAAAGCGAAAATGTTGTGTTTGAATAAAGTTATTAGAATCAGTATATGTTTTTAAAGTTGATTTATTTGGGTTAAAAATACAATTAATAATATGTTTGATACTTATAATTATAACCAATTATTTATAACTTTTAAAAGTGAAACATTTCTATTACATTGTATATCAAAAATATAAAAAATACATACACGAATACAAGAAAAATAACTGTTTGAAAACTTTCAGTTAAAGAGCTTTGGACTCGTGTGATAAAGAAGCTTTTAATAGTTAAAATAATTCAATATTTCAAATCGATTCTGTGTTTTCTGTTTTGTTCTAGTTCGGAACATCGCTCCTACGTTGTATTAGGGATATATTGCCCATACATAAAACAGCACAATACATCAACTCCTAGCGCAGTTTGTTGGACCAACCTTTTTAGATTCCTGCATTACATTTTGCAAAGTAATTACTTTCATTATTAAATAATTAAACAGGATGTGATAACATTTCTTCATAAAACCAAACATTGGAAATGATTTTTGCAAGTTAGAGTAGATTTACTTCGGCCAAGTAGCTTAATTAATTAAAGAAACCTCTTGTTTACAATACGATTGACATCATAATTAAATAAAACCTTGTACAGACTTTATTTTTAAAATAGTTAAAAGCGGTCTTCAATTTTCAGAATTTGTTGGAAGAACAATTCTGTGTTGTTTCAAACTAAGTACTTCAGTAATTTCATCTTGGAAAAGTACATCATATCACTGTTAATCCTCATCAAAACAGCGTTCCTAGAGCTATTTATTATGCGTATATGACGCTCGTTTCTAAAAATGGAAGATCGGGAAACGAATCGTCCTTTTACTGCTTTAAATAAAGAGAGCAGACCGGTAGATTTAAGATATCATGGGGTTTATTTCATTGTTTAATATGTATTCTATTGTCTGCAAATATCATTTCCCGCCTTAATTCGTTCGATTTTACATTTTTATGAAACAAGTTATGTAAAAATAATATATTTAACCTTTAGAAAAGCTGAACATCGCTTTAAAGGCATAAGTAAGCTAAACACCAAGGAGTTGCTAAGAGCGTAAGTATTTAACTGTAAGTTCAACATATTTTCTGCAAATGAATATACAGCTTATTTATTTGCTTAAAATATTTAAGGTATGACCATCTTCACGAGTACTATAAGGAACTGAAAAATTGTTATCACAGGTCAAATATAAACCTTAAAGGACACCTGTATGTAACATTAAAATACACTTTACCATATGGAAAATTATGGCCCCTTTTCTGATTTTAATCTTTGATGCTAGAAGGGCATTTTATCAGAAATGAGAAACCTTTAAATAATCTACATTATCATCCTAATCAAACATGTTTTCCCATCTATTTTTGTAAGAAACAAAATGTAACTTTCAGCTTACAATCCACATAAGAAAAATGATGTTTTTTTACTCAAAATGTACGAAATATGTATAAAAAAAAATTTAACACGTGGTTTACAATTTTCTTACTTTAAGAGCTTAATTTTGAATCCCTTAAATTTACTTAAATGAGTGTCGGTTTCCCTATTGTTTGATATATTGATTGATTTTGTAAAATATTAAATACTCTTACAGTCTAGTTTTGGTTTTATTCCACTTTGAAAATATCAGGTTCAATATTTGTTATAAGATTTAGTATTATTTAGCCAATAGATGCCTGTGTAAATTGATTGAAATAAGAAAACTTTTTTTTCAACGCAAAAGGAATATATGAGATACATGAATAATGTTAAAAGAAAAAAGGTTAACTCTGGGATTAAAACCCACGGCCCTTAGTTTCATTGTATTGGACAGCAGTTCTAGCCTATTTGAATATTCTTCAAAGCGGAGGTAATTATGATTGTCATACCTTCAGATTTAAAAACTGGTGGGCGGAAATGCTGTAAATTGTGTTTACTTTGGTAGAATCAGCGCTGTAAGACCGAGAAACAATCTATAAAGGAAAGTATGCATTTTCTTTAAGTTTGCCATTTGTTAATGTTAAAAGTCATATGTGATGGCACGGAACAAAGCAAAAGACGGCACAATGAACTATGCTGTTGAGTACTTAATAGATATTAATCTTGTTAAATACAGAATAATAAAAATAAAATTCTGAGCAAATAAAAAATTCTTCTTCGCTATAGACTCGTCATGTAGGTTAGCAAAGAACTTAATTGGAAGATATAGGAAATTTAAAACAAGTTAAGTATGTATAACTACAATTAAAACAATACAGGCAATTTATGCCGATTTCTATCTTTGTGCTTTAGTATTGTTTTATAAAATTAGTTTTTTTCTTTTTCGCGTTAAAATAAGTGATCGTACATAAATTATTTAAAAAAACGCATTTTTAATCTAAAAAAGAAGTATATTTCAAAACAAATGAATTCAAATTTAAGTAGACGAAACTAAATATTTAAAAGAAAAAATATCAAGAAATATCCATTAATCGTTGTACAAGTACCTCAAACATACGTTACTATTTTAGGTCATTTCTCTGAAGTTAGTGTTATCATTCTTATGTGTGTCTTTATTCTTTGAGTAATTTCAAGAATCTATTAAAATGCTTCCTGTTATATTGAAGTTTATTTTATGAAAATGTTATTTGTAACAAATAGTTTATAATAATTAATTAATAAACTAATAAACTAGGTACTATAGTTACGAGTATGTAATGAATCATTTTGAAAAAAATATATTATCATTTTTAAACATGCATTTTAAGTATATTTTTCATTACATATCTATCAAAATATTTTGACTACATTTAAAAAAAGGAATATGTCTTACTTATATAATATTATAAAGGTTAAAACAGAAACAAATAAATACAGTTGCCCCTCGACTATGCAACTCCTACTCACACATAAGTTTCCCAAAGTACCAAACATCCCTCGAGTATACGTCAACTAGTACAGTAGGCATACAAACAGTGAGTACCAGAATATCAGCAACACATAGGTTGATCAGATATATGTTCACAGATGTTTTCATAGTCCTATGTAGACACACAACCATGATTACGAGCAAATTTCCGAGAAAGCCTATTAGAAATATTAAAACAAAAAATATCGTCGCAGTAATTTGAGAACTCAAATGGTACGATGGCACTTCCGTTGAAGGGTCAGCAAACACACAATTGCTTTTATTAATCATATGAACATGAAATGTCATATTAGCGTTTTTTAGGCAACTTTCATTAGCAGCAACTTCCATAATATACAAATGTTACTACATATAATACCAAATAACATCAAAAGATAACGTAGAAAATTCCTGTTAGTTGCCATAAACAGAATACCATCAAGATCACATAAAAGCAGTATCGACTTAAAGAAGGCTACTTTTAATGGTTCACAACCATCTTATCTTTGAGACATATATATAAATTTTATATTTAAAATAAATTCCAGTTTAGCACACATCGAATGTTGATATGCGTAACTTTCTCGGTTTTCATTATAATAATCTCTGCAAACATGCGCAGTTAAAGTTTCAAAACATTATGTGCAAAGATATACAAGTTTTCATAAAAAGAATTCTCCTGTCCAATGCAACCAATCGGAGAATCTTCAGTACTCGGCAGTATACAGCTAGATATTATGCTATTTCATAGCAGAAGAGAGCTTCGCACAATGGAAGTATTGGTAAAATTAACGGCAGTGAGATCTTGATTAAAATTGAGCATTGCCGTAAGCGATTGATCTTAATTTAAATGAAACATCAAAGTTGATTGTGTCATCTGTATTGTTAAAGGTACTTCACTGAGGTTTGGTCGAATGTCAGTAAAAGAAGTAAATTTCCACGAACCGATAATTTTTTGTTTGTTATTTTTCTTGATGTGCACATATGTTCATGTGTGGAAAATCCTTCCAAAGCATTTTCAATATATTTAAAGCATTATAATGTTGTAATCATGTTTTGTTTAACTCCGTTACCAAGATGAATTTGGCTTAACGTACTGAGTTGGAAACTGACAAACACAAACTTTACAAGTAGTATGTTACATTAAAATTTCGTGTAATTAATAAACATTATGTATAAACTAAGGCTAAAACGATTTATTTTATCAAGACAATGTGATGGGTCCTATTTCAAAGGTCACTTTAGTACTATGTCTTAGTTTATCTGACACATGTTCAGAAAAAACACCGTAATACATTTGAAACAACGGAGAAGACAATGAGTAGTGTAATCATTAAAAAGCACTTGCATACTCGCACACATAAAATGCTATTCTTAAGAAGACGATATCATATCGTTTTATCTTCAACTCGGAACAAAGCACTGGCTTATGTAGAATGAATCAGGCCACATCAAAGGGCATTTAGGCATCAACGTTACAAGTAAATAATTTGTATGTGAACGCCGCCTTTCCTTGATTATCTTGTTATCATATTTTGTGCATATAATTAAATTCTACAAGAACAAAATCGATGTCATTTGCTAGGTAGATCCGAAATTTACTTTTTATCATTATACACACAAACTTGCATATCTATCCCCATTGAATGTTAAGCAGATTTCTTCGTTGTTGATCTAGACATTCAAATATACTATAGGTCCTTGATACTTGTTTCATTCATTAGCACATGGTCAACATTATCAAGAAAGTCAGAAAAGAGTAACAATCTGGCTCTATGATTATTATAATAATAATAATAATAATAATAATAATTACTCACTTCATTGAATGCTTCAGCAGATATCTTAAAAAATGTTTGTATTATTGGAAAGCCTCCATACTAATAATGAGTTATCTGATCTATTGATATAATGTGTTTCCTTCCTTCTTTTTTCCGGAATGGGAAGAAAGGTGATCAATCAGTATTACCCTTGTTCGAAAAGCTTTGAGCAGATGTTGTAACTTAGATTGGGTTAGCATGAAATAACGTCTGTTGCTCAAGTTTAGATTTTGTCGTAAACGAACTGTCATATTCTTGCACTGATGCAGTTTTGCTCCGCCATAATTGTTTGCTCTGAAACAACTGAAACAAATTAGAATCTAGAAATACTATCAGTCTATTTTTGTAATTATAGCTTTCATGTTGTGTTTACCGGTGTTGGAGCTATTATAACCCGGTTTTATAACATTTTTCCTCATAAGAAATTTACCCAAATTAGAAACATATAAAATGCGTTTCTTTTGTCAACACAAAGTGTACATTGTATGTCGCAGCTTATAGCGAATAATGGGGCAAAATATTGCTCCAGGGTTATCTAATTTATTTTTTAATAGCTTTTCTTTATTTACATGTAACAATTCCTTTGTGTTTTTTCCGTCTTTGACACTGAAGCCGTATGTAGAAATATTAGAAAGCTATGTACTTCACGTATGATATGCAATTTACAAACCCATGTCTTTGCAATTTGCCGAAACTTAGGAACCATGTCCCACAGCATTTATGACGTATCTTCCCAATCTGTACCTGCTCGTGACGACATGAAGCTGATCGTCTTCTATACGATTTGTCATAATGCCGGCAAATAAACACATCAGAATTTCTGATTCCTGTATAGATATTGAATTACTTAATATGGTGTAATGAAGTATTTAACGATTACATAAACGCAATATTAAAATTTTAAATATATAATACATGTATATATTCCATAGATATACGTTAACATGCTTTTCATTAATGGGAACACCTTTCTCTGCATATGAAATACAAAAAAAAAAAATAAATAAAAAAAACAAAAAACCCCAAAAAACAACTGACACTATTTCCAAAATAATTGTCAAAATGGTATGACATTTTATGTATGTAATTGAAACTGATATTTTGCTGGTGAAATAAAGTCTGTATGATGTCTGTATGATGTACATGTTTGTATTTTATTTTTGTATTAGGCCGATGTACTCGTGTGTTATCAAATCAGAATACTATTAAGATGAGAATTTATTGCAAGCAAACTGAAGTCGTTTAATTTAATACTTCTTCCTACTTTTAACTTGCAAATAATGTATTTGTATGATTTCAATGACAGGAAGCGAGAAACAAGCATAATGAATGAAAAAATGACGGAATAAGACAGGCAATAAAATCATTCGGCCATTGTACTCATTAAATTTGGTTCGATTATTGTACTCGTTTTTTAAAAAGATGCACAACTTCGTTATGCAACTTTACAAAGGATGGAAATTGTTTATGACGGGCAAACCTGCAATTGTGCACAAGATGTCATTGCCAATTTTGCTGAAAATGCGTTTACTGAAAATATTGCACTGGATGCATTTAATTGCATAAATAAGTTAGAAAGAAAACCATTGTTTTCTTGAAATCTTTACTTTTCTCTTTTATTCGATTTTTTGCCACTTGCCTGTAGACAATTTTTTATCTATAATTTAGCTGTGGCCCTGTGTTGTTAAGTCTCGTGGTTGTTGCATTCATTTAATGCTACCAGTCCTTGTTAATCTTGTTTTTCATATGTATGGTCCGGGTATAAGATGGGTGGTACTCGTATTTCGAAGATTTATGAGAAAGTGCTTAAAAGCCTTTGTTAATTGAAACGGAAATACATAATCTTAAATACATGAATGAAACATATCACAGTTACAGGCATAACAATTAATCCGTAAGAATTTCGGTTAAATGATTATACCGTTATGAAACGTTAAAGTTCCCCTTTATAATTTTCCTTGGAATTTAATACTTAGTGTAAGCACTGAAATAGGAGAGGTAGGTATACCAGATTGTTTGCAAAATCATTATTAGCAGGATTACTAGATTCACAAAACATGATTTTTCACAGTCATTATCATATGAATAAACTGTCATTTTCTTCCTTTTACCGAAAGATTATCCACCTTCGTATTTATACCCAGGAAGATTTCAAGAAGTAGATAGAATATTATTAATATTTGAATAGAAAAGAATTTGATGAAGCATATTTATAAAAGAGAAGTCGGGGGTCACTATGCTACTTATCAAATTAGTGGCAAATAAATGGGGAGTTAATTTTACTCGTTTAGATTATTTTCAAGAGCAGAAATGTAAACCGTATGTAATGGCCATATAGAAATCATTGATCTGTTAATAAACACGATAGGTTAGAGTGTTGAGAAAAATTAATGTTGGGTTAAACCAACTTTCTTACTTTCTTTTTCCACCAAAAGCTTATTGTTGTTAAAGGGTTGTTTATAATGAAAATAATTATAGTTATAAAGTTAAATATATATATATTTATATATATATAAATATGGATATTTTCGCATATTAATTTTGTTTTCTTTCAAAATAAGTACCTAATTAATGATGTAAAGTCGGAATGTTTGGTATAGTAAATGTCCTAAAACTATACCAACAATATCATTACCTATACATTGTAAAAAAGTTTTTAATATATTAGCAATATTTATTTTGGAAATTTACCAAAAAGTAAATATATAATATAACAATGACACCTTGTTATGTAGATAAAAGGTCTTCCCATATTATAATTGATTAAAAAGTAACTAAATGCTCACTTTCTTTGTGTCATACATACATAATAAGATTAGATGATATATTGAGTGAAGATATAGTTTAACTCAAACCGATAAAGAACCATTCTTCTATAAAAATTGCGTCGGAAAGCCTTTGATACGTGAACTATGATAATTCTATAACAGACTTGCACTCATATTGTATTGACATAGTTTGTATAATTGTAAATTGATGATGCAATAACAATTATATTTGAGTATGGACTACAATATTGAAAGTAATTGGTGTGTATTGTAATATTGCTTTGCTACAAGATAATTTGTTAAAGATATAGAGGAAAAGCGCACATGTGAAAAGTTGTGTTATCAATTTACGTTAAATAGTGTAGCAATGAAACATGAAGTGAATTAAGATTTTTGTCCAATGTTTCCCAAAAAATGATGGCATTTAGTGGAAAGAAAACACCACACAAAAACATGTCAGGTATTAATTTTCAAAGATTAATGTTTTGAAGAAAATTGATTGTGTTTCCTAATTTGCCCCAAATTACGTGTTTAAAAGGGTAATTTCTTTTCAGTCTGAATTTGTCTCATGATTTGGAACACAATTGTGTGTTAAGCGTGCGTTGTATGGGCTGTAGTGTTTCGACTTGACGTCTCAATGATGTATTGTCGAAATGTAACCCTGTTAATAATACAATCATTATGCTACAGTTACACAAACTATATGCTTGACTTTTTAAGTTCCTTTTAAGGTCATCTGTTTTAGAATTTGTATTAACAATGGACAAATAATATAATACAAAAAAGAAAAACGCATTTCTGGGCATTTTTGATAATTCACTACAGCAGGTTAAGTGCTGTGAGGCAGCTGTTAATAATTGCCCCGTCTTTAACTTAAGTGTTGTTATATTTTTCTGGTCCTTCGAGATCATTGATTCCAGCACTTTTTAGTGTAAAAAATTTCATACCGCTCAAGCCGGTGCTAGGGAGCGCGAGGGATGTTGCACATTTTCATTATCCCTTGTGTACAAACTCTGAAATGTTCATGTACTTTTGTTGTGATTAATGCTTCCGAGGATTCACATTTTCTCGAGACTA